GTCTGGGCGCGCAGGGGTGCGAAATGTGGGATGTTGACGTTGTTGGGTACGTTGGCTGGCTTTCGGGACGCGTCGGGGCTGTGGGCGACACAGGGTGTGGCGCGGGTGACGTTGGTCGCCGCTAGGGACACGAGGCGTGGCTCGGGGAGACGTGCGGGGAGACGCTGGGACGACGGTCGTGACTCGCGCACCTGCTGCGGGTCTCAACACCTCACTGCGGGCCTTCACACGCGCACGCGCCCTTGCTGCGCGTCATGTGCGGCATCCCTGCCCGCGTGCTGGACGCTTGCCAGCAGCACTGGCTGCTGTCCGAGGCCACCAGCAGCTGCATATCTCGATGAAACTTTTGGAGTTTGGCTCGGGTGATTGGAATGAAATTTTAACATGATATAAAAAAATCACAAAAGGACCAAAATACCAAAGATGAGCCTCGATGAACAAACTTAACATATAAATCGAATTTTTGACAAATAGGGCATGCGAAGAGTGAGTTTCAGTTCATGTGGTTCAGGTTGGAGTTAAGAATTGAAATTTTAACAGTAGGCTCATCATAACAACAGAGACTCTCACTCAAAATTTCACATCAAATGGATGTGAAAATCATTTTATACAATTTTTCAAAGATTCAAGGCACGAAGAGCAAGATTCAGTTCAATAGGCTAGGAATCGAATTAGGACTTGAGATTTTTACAGCATGCTATGCATAATAATAGGAACCTACACTCAAATTTTTTTAAAAAAAATGCACGAGTAGGGGTAAAGCTATCTCTTACCGTAAACCATTCTAATCTACAAGAAAATCTGACAAGGTGGTCGGGTCGGGCAAGGGGATGGCGTGCACACGTGACTCTGCTTCGGCAATGGGCAATCGAGCAGGGGTTCGGGCTCCTCAACATGAACAGAGGCTCGCCTAGCCAAACAATGGTTGGTCGATCGAGTGCGGACAAAAGCAGGTAGAAGTCGTACGGAGCGGGTGAGGCGAGGTCTGGGGTGCTCGCATGGCGCTGGCGATGTGCTGGGTAAGGCCGCGCACGGATGGGGTTTTGCCGAGAGAGATGGTGGTGCGATTCAAAAGGGCTGCTGCTTCAGATTTTTACGAGAGTATTATGAGGGTGAGGGAGGAGAATGAAAGTTCAGAAAATTACTAAGGAAAAGAGGAGTGATGCACGTGAGATATAGGGAGGTTTTGAAGAGGAAATCTCCTTGATTCACTTAGGCAATAAAGGGAGATATAACTTTCCACTAAAAGCATCAATTAGGAACCAAGAAGGAGGTAATAACGGTCAAAGAAGGACATGGAGGAGCTGAAAATTAAATACAAAAATAAACTCATTCTCAATTCAAAAATTGAACTAAAAACCATTACTCCACCTTAAGAAAAAAGAGGCGGGTTGCTCATGCTCTTGGACGGATTCTATTTGGCCAATATGGCCGAAATGTGGCAACACAAGGGCTGGATAAAGTCGACTTCAAGGTTTGGTTCCAAGGTACGAGGAAATAACAAGAACGGGTAAAAAATAACCTTGCACGATTAAACCGGAAATAGCCGAACGATTTGACAAACGATAGTTAAAATAATATATAATTGGACAAACGACTATACTAATACATAAAATGCATTATAAAATAATCAAGGCATAGAAATATAAAATAAAAAGCCGATAAATAGAATAAATCCGAGAAATTCTATAAATCGAATGGGGCACTATAGTTTTAGCCACTAATTTTATATTTTAAGGGTACACATCTCACTATTTAATGTTTGTTTATCTTTCAATTTTTGTATGACTATTTCTAATAGTCAGAAAATTGAGGCCTCTAAACATAATGTTTGATATTTATGGAGATATTAGACAATTCTTTTTTTTTTTTCCCGAAATGATAGAGGATAATATATATAACTCAAATGCGAACAATGTTCGAATACATCGACAGACCCGACCAAGGCCGAAAATACAGACTGGGAAGACAAGCATGAGAGCGGCCTAGAACTCAACATACAAATAAAATCTACTATACATGGAAAATGAAGTGAACTAGAACAACTACTGCACAATGCCTAGCTGCCCAACTCAACCTCAACAGAGAGACTCATACAAACTAACACAAAGACAACCATATAGAAAATACTAAAATAGATACAGACCTCAAAGAAACAAGCACCAACACCTATAACGAACATAACATAAAAGGAGCCCTAATGACCAGACAACAGACATAAGAGTTAGCAGATCAACCCTTCACCTCTCTGAATTCTAATCATTCCCTATGAGCTGATTTGATCACTATAGGGATTGGCATTCTTAGAACAACTATTTTTTTCAACTATTTGACAATCCTAACACTTGAAAGAACTTTTTTTTTTAAATAAATAGATATTTTTATATTTAAATAATATGTTTGAAAAATAACATAAACGAAAGTATGATATTTTATATCATACGTAATATAAGACCTAAAGTCGCATTAACAAAAATAAAAAAATTTCATTATAAAATACATAATTTTCAAACGTCGACAGTGTTAAAATTATTTTGAAAGTCTATAGTTTTACAAAACTCAGTAACGATTGACACAATAATGATGGTTGATACGTTATTTTTTATTTATTTATTCCATGAGCTTGTGCAATTAATACTATTTTAAATTTACCTCTTTTTATTATACCGCATACATTCAGTTGAGTTAAACTCTAAATAATATATATAGAGAAAGAGTTGGGTCATATCAGAAAGGTCACAATGAAACAAATAAGAATGAATTTTAACATGTTAAATTTAATATATCAACGTTCTAGACACAGTCAAATGATCCAACTTTAGATAAACACGCGGTGACATTTCTATAAATAGATGGACTTTTGACTTTTCATGCGGGGTATTTTAGTAAGTGCACAAAATGCACTGATTGGAGTAATGTGCCATATCACAAGCACTAATGTGCAGTTTGTTTAATAATGTTGTGCAGTCTGTAGGTGATATTTTTAATGTGCAATTTCAATCGCGATATTGTGCAATACATTATTCATTAATGTACAATTATTAGAATTTTACTAAATTATAGATTTGACCCATGAACTAAATTGTAATATAATTAAAATTAATAAAATTGCAATTATGTCCATCAAACTTATCTAATTTTAAAAAATCACCAAGCCCCAAAACCAAATTCTCGCCGGTAAATTTTTGAAAGTCAATCGTCGACCGTCGTGCGTATGCAACATCCGTGGGGAGTTGTCGGCGGGTCCATCCACCGCACTGCAAGAAAAGGAAGTCGGAGAGGCTGTCTTTGATTTTGATTTTGACAGGAGCGGAGAGGCCACACAGGGCCACTTGCAACCAGCCATTGATTAGGTTTCAGAGGTGATCTGCTTAGGGTCGCGGGCGACACGATCCAATTGCGACGCGACAATTGGATAGGGAGGGAGCGCCGATGAAGACGATGGTGTAATGCCCTGTTTACTTTTAAAGAAAAGTCCCAAAATTTTTTCAGAAACTAGAGTAAATATTTCAAAAATCATTTTTCGACTTAAATCATTTTAACGGGCGCTACTCAAAACATTCATTCATTACTCAGCTTAGCATCATCTAAAGCCGTTGGAAACGCATTGGCCAAAACACAACATAAATCCACGTACGAGATAATACATGAATCATAAAAATCTCACATTCAATTCAACAAGTTCAATGTTTCCAAAAATATCCAGTCACGGATAAGTTTTGAAAATCAATCATATCAAGCGAAAGCAGTTCATAAACAAATAAAATGACCCCACTCGTCCGTCCTTTGCCACGAACACAAGCTCAACCTGAAAAGATAAAAATAAAGGGGTTGAGCAAACAACAAGCTCACCGAGAGAATTACCGTGCACATATATTCAATATAATAAATGAAATCTTAATCACAGCATGAGCACAACCACTACGTCTACCTCCTACACTGCCCTACACTCCTGTGCACACCTATCGTCAGCATCATTACCAACGGGAGCTAAACCGTTGGCATCATCGTCAACGGGAGAACACTCTCAAGGAAAATATAGGAATACCGTCGGCATCAACATCAACGGGAGGTCATTCTCATAGACTAGGGTCACATGCATACATTGATTATCAAGCCAAGAGACTATAAAGAATAACGACATGGTAAAGTTTATCAACACTCACTTCTTTCGGCATTGACAATTATGCAAAAGCTCACTGTAGGTTTGAGGGCTCGACTACTCGAAAGCCTAAAATTAAGAGAAATAATCCTCATCCATAAATTATCTCCTTACTCAAAATTACTGAATTTCCCAGTTAATAAAAAGGAGTTATAAAATTTTTAGTGAAACTTGGAACTCTTGGTTCAAGGCTCGAAAAAAAGTTCACGAGACTAAAATACGGTTCGACACGAAAAATGGTTCAACGGCTCAGGGTTACTTGCTGAGTTACTCTCGCTAGCGGCCGAAGCGCCACCACAGTAGCCCATTCATTGTTGTCCTCATTGTCCCATTTCGGAAATCAGTCTCCAAACAAAGATTGAATTTCTCACCAGAATCAGTTTCCATTTTTCCCTAATTTTCATGCATCTCGAGTGGGGTTAGTTTATCATAAACCTGTGCTAAAACAAAAAGAAAGGGATAGGTTGACACTGAGTTTTCACCCTACTGGGTGAAGAGAGCTTCCTATTCAGGTTTCCACAGATCATTTCCCTTACAACTTTTTGGGATTGGTCTCATAATAGAATAGAAGCTAAATCCCTAATATACGACTAAACTTAACATTCTGGAAGATATGGTAAAACATTTGAATTCATTAAAAAATGCGAAGAATTCTCTCCACATCGAGTTAGCTGTGAGAATTGTCGAACCGCTTTCTTAACCTCTAATCTCAGTGTTTTCCTTCTCTAGAAAATCTAAGATTGATCGAGAAAGATATTGTACTTACTTCAGTAGAAGTTTATCCTGATCCCTACAGCCCTTCGTTGCTTGCTCATCCTGAGCCTGGATCGAACTCACCATGAGATTCATAGTTGCATTACTTATAGCTTCCTTGTTCGTAGACAAAGAGGATTCAGAATTGTCTTTCATTCGAAGGCATAACTTGGATTCATGCTCTTCATATTCGCTCAAAGTTTCCCCCAGAAACCTAGTCATCCCTGCCCCTCATGCAAACACCACAAGCCTCTTATCCATTCTCATTGGGCAGGGGGAGTAAATCCAAATAGAAAAACTCGCATTGGGTTTTGGGATAATCAGGCTAGAACTAATACTTTCCAACCCGTCCAGACTCGAGTAAACCCGCATGCACGCAAGGAGACTGCGCGCACACGAGGCTTGCTCATCTTTTTGATGCCCTAGGCCGCCCAGGCCTAGGTCTTGTACATAGATGCCTTAAGTAAGGCCTAGTTTTGTCTGGAGGTTTCTATAAGACTCCAAAGGCATGTAGATACTTGTAGTAGGGACTAGAAGATATCCGATTCCCTCTCTTTGCACTTCCTTCCCTATCCCTTTCCTCTTTTCTCCCCTACTTTGCTCTTCTATCATCTCAAGATATCGTCGAGGTATCGAGCCTCTTCAACTGCCCTAGTGGTATGGTGCGATTTTTAGTGCCATCAGGGACAGCGAGAAACTTCTTACAGAGATAACTCGCATATTAAAGAAAGGATGTTTCATTTGCTTTTATTATGGTGGTTCCAGCTCGGTCTCTCGGTTGCCTGGCCAGCAACCTAGAGCCCTACAGTCCACGGGTCTTAAGCACCAAACCTTGGTCTTTTCGACCAATTCGGGTTCTGTACAGTCCAACCGAGTCGCCAACACCTAGAAGAAGTCCAGTTCAGTAGCGGTCCAAACCGGTCCACCAGTGGTCCAACATCTGGTTCGAGTCCAAGGCGAGTCCCAAGCGGTTTGACTAAGCCACCGGAGGTCCGTGATGGTCTGACGGACCCGACGAGCTACCGAAGATGTAATGGTGAGGCCTAATCCGACAACCCAATACACTTTGAGGTTGAGACGATCTCCAACAATAAAAATCAAAAACATCTCAGAGTCGGCAAATTCAAAAATCGTAAGTCCTAATCCTAACTATAGATTCTGTTGCATTGGAATTTAATTTATTAGATTCGAAGGTGCATATTGACGTCGTTCCTAATAAAGCCCAACAACTGGTATAAGTGCCTAGGCTTAATTTGTCTTTGTGCACTACTTGAATTAGGACATGCATGACATTTGTCAATTAATTGTCTACAGGCGCAACGAATAGTATAATTGCAAAATATGATTTTTTGCAGATATTCTTTAATCTCACTATCGTGGCCCGAATGTATGATTTTTAATTTATGTATGTATGTTGTCTTTAAAGCCTCAAATATGTCAGAAAATAATGGGTTGTGAATGATTGCTATAATTTATTCGCGCAGTGGGACACCGCATAGTTTACCGCTTTCATAGAACAATCACGTACGGCCCCTGCGTGGGTCATAGGCCGAATTATGTAATTGCTGTATTTTATATATTTCGATTGACCCTGTGGATCGGATGAGCCCGGATGATCAAGATGATGACGACTGGAGAAAACCCGACGAGGCAGAGTCATCCTAAAATCAGTGGTCACCGGGATGAGCGTTATTACGAGCGAGCCGGCGTGTACACGGGCAGCTTGCTATCGAGCGTGCGTGATGTTGGGGGTCATGCAGGTGATGACCCGCGGTGCCCGGGGATAGCAACGCGGGTGCCGCGGGCGTGGCTAGGCGCGTTTGAATACAGCGCCGGGTGGATGCGCCATGGCTCGACCGAGAACGCACCACTTGAACGCGGATCTGCGCCACGACTAAGGTTGCACTAAGTGACCACCGATGGGCACGACCGCGAGTTAACCTCACGCCTGAGTTGTCCGGGCACCGTGTGCGACACGATTATGTCAAGGCAGCGACCGCGGCTTGTCACCAGCAATTAGTGTTATTCCAACGACATGAGCTTTTTTCGAAGACGAGCTTCCGAAAAGAACAAGGACCAAAAAAGGTTTGCTTGTTCGAGAAGGAAAGTGGGAGTCACAGTGAAAGGAAAGTTCCAATTCCAAGACGAAACTTGCGGTCTTAAAAGTACAGGGATTGATTGATTCCAATTAAAATTGGATTCATAATTATTGGCCATGATAGTTGGTTTTATTTTATTAATTATTATTGCCTTTAATTATGTATGTGATTAAATGTTTTATTGCCTTGTGTGCAAATTAAAATATTAAGAGCATGAAAATCCTTAATTAAAATAATACTAAGTGGTTTAAAGTTCTACGACCTCCATTATAAATTTTTCATGGAAGTGATTTTAAATTGCGTATTGGCATTAGAGCCTTCCTTCTACAGAAAAATTTTAATCACTATTCATAACGACAAATTTCTTTCGGGATGGTAGTAGAAAAATAATTTAAAAGTGTGCGGGCCGTGCACTGGCGGACGTACAATTTTGGTAGTGGACTTAGTACCAAGTAATGGGTCACACTTAGAGAACAATTGATAGTGGTCTCCAACAGGAATCGTCACTGTTTTTTGTGTGGGCTAAAAGTGGACCGACAATTAATTATGCGCTGAAAATGTCTAAGGTCGACACAAATAATTAATGGGATAAATCCCTCCTCTTGCGAATGTTCGATCCATAGACGTCTGCACCATTGTGGCAGGTGGTGATGCGGTGCTTTGGATTGTCGGTGAATTTAATAAAATATTGTTAAGGGATCAATATTTGAAAATTAAATTCAAAGATTTGACTAAATAATATTGATATTCGTGTTAAGGTTGTCAAAATTTCTTTCAATATGTTGTTTGTTATTCTCAAAGAGATCAAAATTACTTATTCCTAATTAACTAACTGGAAAAGAAACTTGGACACAATGTCAGCTGCTGAGGTGCACGAGCTGAAAGGCAAGTGCTACTAGTGCATGCTACAAGGACATTGGAAGGTCAACTGCCTTTCCTCAAGATGGACAAAAGTGAAAAAGGTCTCTCACTAGTCATGGAAACATGTTTACCGGTGATATCCACCAGTGCCTTAGGTCGAAGTCAGGGGAAAGAAAAATAACAATAAAGGAGAAATCAAGATTTACCCATGCGACAGAGCAAATGACGTTATCACTCTTGCCTTTGAGGTCATAGCCCAAGCGATTGAGGTCAGCGACAGGGAGCACCTGCATGAGAAAGGAGCTTACCTCCATGTCGGTGGTTGTCATTAAGGAAGGAGTAGAGATGATGGTCCTGGTATCATCCTCAAGACGGGATCGCTTATTGCTCTCCTCATCTTGAGTGATTGGGCGCTTCCCGAGCATAGTCTTGAACGTCTCGGGCATGTGCCCGCCTGAAGGAGGGGGTCGTTCTTCGAGCACCGTGTGGGTCGAGATGTCGCCTTGCTTTTGGATTGAAGGGGAGATGAGTCGGTTTATAGGATCGAGGGAAAAATGTGTTCGGGCTCCTTAGCAGGAGAGGAGATGGCGTGACGCTTGATCTTTTTCTTGGAATGGTGGGGAGCAGTCTTCTTGGTCGACGTTCTCTTTTCGCCAGAAGCAGATTTCTTGCTGAGGGAAAGTGATGGTTTAGTAATGAAGTCCCCTGCAAGATATAAAATAAAAGTTAGCACAATAATAACAATCAAATGATCGAATAAAGAGGTCAAAATTACTCGGCCTAGTCTCATCAACGATGCGAATATCTTGAAGTTTTTGCTCAGATGGTGGAGAATATGATGAAAGGGCGAGTATGCCACAGTTTGATGCAAAATATGGTTATCCTTAAGGTAAGTTTCCGATTTAATCTTGCTCGAGTTCGGCAGAGCAATGCATCGGTTGAACAAATGATTGCAAGGAGGACTCCGAGTTTTAAAAAGAGTGGCCGTGAGCCATGGACTCGAAGCCCAAGGGAAAGAGTGTTGGATTCAATGTACACAAATCTATGTTTCTATTTGGAAACATTAAAGGGAATGTCTGACAAAAAGTGGGCACCATTGCGACTTTTTAGATAGAGCCCATTGGTTTAGAGCTACAAAGCAATAAAAGAAAAAGTCCAGGTTGATTTGACCTAGACGAGCAAAGGATTGGATAATGAAGGTGGTTATATGTCGAATGGATTCGAGAGGTAGTTGGTTCAGAGGTATGCCGAATATCTTGCATAGGTTAAGCAAAGCAGAACAAAGCAGAAAATGAAGACCTAATTGGAATTGGCATTGGAAAAAGCTATAACAACCTTCAAGAGGGTTGTCATAAGTGTCGGTGGCACCTGGACGGTAGAGTGCCCAACCACAAGGATGACTGACTTCATCAAGATCCAACAAGCTAATTTGGCGAGAGCGAGAGCGTGAAGGATTGATTTGAGGATGACGAGAGGGGCGGTTGGTGGAAGGACCGACTCCTGCGATCGAAGTACATATGGATTGGCTGAAGCTAGGGGATCAGGGATGAAGGACCTCGTTGGTCCTCCTTCTCTGCCGCCTCGAGCTCGTCGCTTAACCCAAAGGGTCGACGAGAATGACGACAAGGTGGAAGGTCATCAGGGGTATCCTCATATGGTTCATCAACCAAATGAAAAGGTTGGCGAAGGAAAGAAGAGGTAGGCGAGGTTGTTTGGTCTTGGTGAGTTTGAACAGGAACTTCAGGTCAGACGATGGATACCAGAGTGGGTTGAAGAATTTCTTGAACAGAATGGGTCGGAGAGAGGGACAAAGGTAGATATGTCGCGGACGAAGATGGAGGAGACATGTCATTGCCGGAGAAGTGGTCGTTTTCGCTCGAGGTAGCGGATTCTGAAAAAAAAAATATATCAAAAAGAAGATTTTTAAGGTCTTTGGACAAAGGAGAAAAAGAAAAAGAAAAAAGATTTTAAGCCGGAAGGATGAACGGAAAACTTATAAAGAAATATCAAAAGAAACCAACAAAATTGAAATTGAAACATAAAAACAGGGAAACTTACTCATCGTCGAAGGTGGAGTAGGTCGCCGGAGAATCCGAAAACTTGAAGAGGGGAGAGCTTGATCATCGAAAGAGGATAATCTTTAAAATCAGGAGCAGAAGTTTGCAAGGGTAAAAAGTTTCTAAAAAGGGGCTTCCAGGGTATTTATAGGTGGCGCATTTGAGGGTAGGCAACCCCAGCCATCGATCATAACCAAACACAATGGCTGGGATTCGAAAGGGGTGTTGAAAAAGACGGATCGAGCTAAGCAGTCAGATCGTGGCCAAAGTAAAAGGGCTAAGATCCTGAGGCCAGTTGAAGAGGCGTCGGTTCATTAACCGTCGGATTAAAGGCGTTAATCCAACGACCACTTTGAGAGAGGTATTAAATGGTCATGTCATACGAGGTAGCACGATTCACGGTACTGTGATGGCAGCAAGACGTGTGAGTGGATGGACTTGACAGGTTGGAAGGTGGCCGGCGGAAATTTTGGATTTTGAAGGGAAATTTGGAGGGAAAAAGTCGAAAATTCGAGAAAAAGGTAGATATTGCGACCGAAAAATAAGAACCAGTGCAATCGAAAAAATATAGGACGAAAAATCTACTCTTGGATCGAGTTATTCAAACTCGACTAGAGTTGGGGGTACTAGATGATATGAGATACCATACCTAAAGGAATCATTTGGTCGAGTAAGCAGAACAAATCGCCTGATTGAGCAGAATCAGGACAGAGGGCTGGCCTGGTCGAGCTTCCTAGGATCAAGAGCCTTCGATTTGGAAGAGAGTCTAAGGGATTCAGTACAGTGAGGATGGGTCGAGCTAGAGCCTTTAGATGACCTGGTCGAAACTCGACCTGTAGTTGCAAAGGGTCGCCTGATAAACCACCACTCAT